AAACAGTGCACATCCCTGCTATTCAACCAGTACACATCCCTGTCATTCAACCAGTACACATCCTTGTCATTCAACCAGTACACATTCTTGTCATTCAACCAGTACACATCCCTGTCATTCAACCAGTACACATCCTTGTCATTCAACCAGTACACATCCCTGTCATTCAACCAGTGCACATCCCCACCATTCAACCAGTACACATCCCTGCTATTCAACCAGTACACATCCCTGCTATTCAACCAGTACACATCCCTGTCATTCAACCAGTGCACATCCCTGCCATTCAACCAGTACACATCCCTGTCATTCAACCAGTACACATCCCTGCCATTCAACCAGTACACATCCCTGCCATTCAACCAGTACACATCCCTGTCATTCAACCAGTGCACATCCCCACCATTCAACCAGTACACACCCCTGCCATTCAACCAGTACAGATCCCTGCCATTCAACCAGTACACATCCCTGCTATTCAATCAGTACACATCCCTGTCATTCAACCAGTGCACATCCCCACCATTCAACCAGCACACATCCCTGTCATTCAACCAGTACACATCCCTGTCATTCAACCAGTACACATCCCTGCCATTCAACCAGTACACATCCCTGCTATTCAATAAGTACACATCCCTGTCATTCAACCAGTGCAGATCCCCACCATTCAACCAGTACACACCCCTGCCATTCAACCAGTACACATCCCTGCCATTCAACCAGGTACACATCACTGCTATTCAACCAGTACACATCCCTGTCATTCAACCAGTACACATCACTGCTATTCAATCAGTACACATCCCTGCCATTCAACCAGTACACATCCCTGCCATTCAACCAGTACACATCACTGCTATTCAACCAGTACACATCCCTGTCATTCAACCAGTACACATCACTGCTATTCAATCAGTACACATCCCTGTCATTCAACCAGTGCACATCACTGCTATTCAACCAGTACACATCCCTGTCATTCAACCAGTGCACATCCCTTCTACCGGGTACTCAACGAGTACACATCCCTGCCATTCAACCAGTACACATCCACACCATTCAACCAGTACACATCCCCACCATTCAACAAGCACACATCCCCACCATTCAACCAGTGCACATCCCCACCATTCAACCAGTACACATCCCCACCATTCAACAAGCACACATCCCCACCATTCCATCAGTGCACATCCCTGCCATTCAACCAGTACACATCCCCACCATTCAACAAGCACACATCCCCACCATTCAACCAGTGCACATCCCTGCCATTCAACCAGTACACATCCCTGCCATTCAACCAGTGCACATCCCTTCTACCGGGTACTCAACGAGTACACATCCCTGCCATTCAACCAGTACACATCCCTGTCATTCAACCAGTGCACATCCCTGTCATTCAATCAGTGCACATCCCCACCATTCCTTCAGTACACATCATGGCTGTCCAACCAGTGCACATCCCTGCCATTCAACCAGTACACATCCCTGCCATTCAACCAGTGCACATCCCTGCCATTCAACCAGTACACATCCCTGCCATTCAACCAGTACACATCCCTGTCATTCAACCAGTGCACATCCCTGCCATTCAACCAGTACAAATCCCTGTCATTCAACCTGTGCACATCCCCCACCATTCCACCAATAGAACCAATAAAATCTATACATGTTTGAACAGATTATGTTGAACTACAAATATTAAGTATGAAACTGTAATTGCAACTACCATGACTGTAGTTCATTTTGTCTCCCATACTTTGCACTCACTGTAAGTGCAAGTGTTCAATACATAGTGGTTTGAGATGGCTTACATTTCCGATGGAGTCACCAATGTCCAATGCATCTGGGGCAATCATATAATCCTCTAGCTCCTCTTCAATATCATCAAATACTGGTCCCTCTGCCGGTAGTGGACCAGGCTGCCAACAAATTAAGACGTAATAAACATGGTTGACTGTTGGTAGTCGCAGGGGTAATAAGTTTACAAGAGAAAATAAGTGTCACAACAGCAGTGGAAAGTTGCTAAATTATCATGCAAAATGGATACTGCTTTGCCCTAAGTTGACATGTTTTAGTGTGACAGATAGATTTTGAGCCAATGAAAAAATGGTCAACAAAGTCATGTTGTTAAATAACCCATTTCTGGGGGATTTGATATTTTCTCACAAAGAATCCTACAGGTAGCAATGCTTTATTGAAAATTTGTTGGTCATAATATTTTTTTCAGTTTTCATGTATATAAAAACAATTTAACCTGAAAAATAAAGTAGATGTCTAGAAGTAAAACAAGGTTGTAATCTCAAAGAATATTTGGTACTTATCCTCATTCTGATATTTTTAAGAAAATGGTTGATTAGTATGCAAATCAAGCTAATCAATATGTATAGGTGAGTAACAAAAGCATACCGAGAGATGGGCATCTCCATTGACAATGTCAGAGTCGGCATCACTAGGATGAACGGTATCATGTCTATTAGAAGAGAGTGTTATACCAACTCCACTGTCACCATTTTCACCATGAGCAGACTGGCTGCAATCCATGTACAAAGTTTCGGACACAGAACGTGTCCATGCACGTTTATAAGTTTCTTTTGCATCATTTAAATTATCTGCAAAAAGAACGTTGAACGAGTGAATAATAATAACATGTAAGGGACATAGGAGGTACAAGTGACAGACATGAGGTGTACATGTGACGTACATGTGACGTACATGTGACGGACATGTGATGGACATGTGATGTACATGTGACGGACATGTGGAGGACATGTGAAGAACATGTGATGTTCATGTGAAGGACATGTGATGTACATGTGACGTACATGTGACGTACATGTGATGTACATTGTTTCCTATCTTCTATAGCATTAATGACAAGAAAGCTTCCAAATACATTTGACTGAACCAAATAATCCAGTTAATAATTCTTACCTGAATTACATAGACGATTGAGTAGCGTTCGTAAATCTCGTAATACCGATTTAAATGCAGGCCTTTCTTTGGGATCTTGGTGCCAGCATGCATCGATAATATCACACATATCACTGGGCAGTATCGATAATGTAGGTCGTTGACCTATGATGTATTTGTGTCTGATCTAAAAATAAAACACTTATCATTAATTAAATTAATCATCTAAAATGTGTACATTCTGTAAAGGGGAAGCAAAAACTAGTATGCACCTTTTGATATGCTGTCCTCTTGACACTCTTTTCTGAGTGATGGGGAAAACATATAGGGTTGAGAAATACTCAATCAATCCACATGAGCCATGGTTGCTTAATTTTTATTTTTAGTATCTAAGAATTTTATTTATATCTGCAAATATATTGGAAAAATTCCATGTTTCCAACATCTTAAACCTTTTGTTCAAATTATTCAGAAGACTGAATATGTTATTGACAACAACAAAGGGAAATTAAAAGCACATATTAAGAAATGGGGTCAATTTCTGACTATATATATGACTATGTAAAAGTATTTCATATGATTGTTAAGTAAAAATGAAATGTATGTTTTAAGAGACTTGACTCAATAAAAAATATCTTTAAGTAAAAAAAAAGTATGGAAACTCTAGTTTTGGAAAATATGCAGTATCACATGACTTCAGCTAAACGATCACTGGTAGCCTAATGGTTGTCGCATCAGACTCATGACCGATAGACCCAGGTTCAAATCTTTTGGCTGAACACCAAAAGGGTCCCCCCTACCCCGGGTGAATGTGCCACAGACTCAATGGGGAGGCCAATTCCACTGGCCGAAATTCATTCACTAACGAATGCGACTTTGGGGCAACCTTGGTTAAGGACCGCAGGTGCTTGTGTTCGATCGAGCCTGGTTGATGCCAGGATAACGCATTAAAATTCCCCTTTGACAGAGAAATGGCCACACAGCCCTGTCAAGTAGTCCCAAACATGAATATGACTTCTGTGGCAAAATGTGTCAGCAGTAGCACTTGCAATTTGCACATACATTAGATGACAGTGACATTCAATGTCAGGAACTGTCGCCTGGCACACAAAAAACTAATTAAGAAAAAAAAAAAAAAAAAACTTACATCTTCAGTTCTGTTATCTTTAAATGGTTCTCTGCCCTTAGTGAATATTTCCCAGCATAAAACACCATATGAGAACTTATCTAAAGCTAAAGTGACTTTTTTTGCACCCACAAGATGTTCTGGTGATGTCCAAGGTACTCTGAAAATAAAAAATAGCATTAACTACTACAACCTTGTCTATTGAGAATCTACATTAATATCAGGAGATATCAAACTTTATTTTAGCTGCGACCAAAATTAGATTTCTTTAATAATTTATTTGTGTATGTATTTTTATACATATTTAGTTATTTGTAAATGTTAAGTACATTCATTCTAGTTATTTTCAAAATATTGTCTTGTTAACAAAATTTTTTTATTGTTGCAAACACCCTATGTAACCTACTCTTTTTTTTACATGGGGACAATAAAGTTCATTCATTCATAACAAATGGATGGATGGATACAAACTAACAATGTAACATCTTTTCTTTGCACGACAAAAGTGAGTATAAAAGTCCTGAAACAATGCAATAATATATTATCTGAGCATTTTGTAAAGTACATACAGGCTAAATAATGAAGTCATCATAAGTACAAAAAAAAAATAATTAATATTCATGTTCCTCAAATAATACTACATGTGTTATTTTCTTCATTCAAAGAATGACATAACTTGAATTATAGAAATTTCTAAAAAATCATATTTCAGCAACATATCTAAGCAAAATTTAGCAAGAATACTACTGGCCAATGTCCTCAATTAATACTACATGTACTGTATTAATCTAAATGTCTCTTATAGAATAACATTACTTGTATAAAAGTTAATAACAAATAATAGTACAGCAACATATCTAAGCAAAATTTAGCAAGAATACTACTGGCCAATGTCCTCAATAAATACTACATGTACTGTATTAATCTAAATGTCTCTTATAGAATAACATTACTTGTATAAAAGTTAATAACAAATAATAGTACAGCAACATATCTAAGCAAAATTTAGCAAGAATACTACTGGCCAATGTCCTCAATTAATACTACATG